GAGAGAGAGAGAGAGAGAGAGAGAGAGAGAGAGAGAGAGAGAGAGAGAGAGAGAGAGAGAGAGAGAGAGAGAGAGTGTTACATGCCCAGTTGGGCGATGTACATAGAAATCGAGGATCCGCAATGTGATGAAAAAGGATTGAATGGACAATGCAGTGTAAGTAGAATCTCAACAAGCAATGTGCATTCTAATACATACAAAATGGTGCTAAATAGCGCAGGGAAGACTTAGATACAAATCCTGACCTGACCGGGACTGACCTCATTCACATAGTCTCAGATACCGAAGCAGAATGCTAGAATGCTAATGACTAGCCCAATCAATGTTTGAATGCAGACCAAACATACATCGTATCCATCACCAGGTGTGAAGGAGTCTGGCGCTGTACACAGGAAGAGAGCGCTAGGTCCAGACATACATAGACGAAGAGGAGGGAATCAGACGAAAGGAGGGAGAGAGATGGGAATGTCGTCAACACCAAGTCTTAGTCACAAGTCCCAAATAATCCCTCGTTACAATGTCTGAAGTCCAAAAGTCGAGTCTGGATCCGATGTCACCAAGCTCTTTCTCTCTTCTCTCGTAGTCAGCAGATGCAGTGAAGTCAGATGATGAGAGGGGAAGAAGGAGATGGTGGACTGAGAGGAGGAAGAAGAAGAACTCTCTCTCTGTGTTACGAGCCAGATACGAACCTGTGATGTTGGCGCTGTGCTGCAGGTACCTCGAAGACGAAGCTGGAGCAACGACGTTGCAGGTAAGTACTCCTGGCCTCCGCCCAATCTCCCTCTCTCTCTAATACTCTAGCTATGGCGCCCGGTGCTGAAGACTAAGGCTAACGCTACTACTACTACTACGGCAGCGCTCCTCCAGAGTGATGTTGTCGAAGTCCTGAAGACTACTGCCTCCTGCCTGCCCGTGAAGTGCATGGGAAGTCCCTATGTACTACCTTGGCCTGCCTCGTGACTGCCTGAAGGGCGAGCCAGGCCGAGGAGGCTGCTCTTGCCAATGCCGAAGTGTGCCAGGGGCTGGAGCTGCAGCCTCTGCTAAGGCTGGCGTGGGAACAGGCTAAGAATAGCCTGTTCCCGAAACCTTGGTTCAGTACCTGAGTTTTAGGGCCGGTCGTTCTGATGAACGACCGAAAATGGCCCTTTGTTTCAGGCTAAAAAGGTTGTTGCCATTTTTAGTCTGAAAGGACACAGGGATTGTAGGCCCCTGTTTTCAGGCTTTTCGGGCTAAACAGTCACGGGGCCTGTAGGCCATGGTTTTCAGCCTTTAAGCCTGAATTTCAGGCTTTAAGCCTGAGGGACGCAGGGCCTGGAAAATGGCCCTCGTGTGCAGGCGCAGCATGTAACACCCCCCCCTCCTTATGAAGTCGAGCCGGGGCGAGGGCGAAGCCGACGATCTGAAGGTGGAACCTAGACGCGGGCGCGGTGTGGAGCCGAAGAAACCGGCTTGCCTTGCATCTTGCGTTCGTAGCGTGCGAGGACGTCTAGAGTTGTTGCTTGAAGTTCCGCACGGGTCAACCAACGGTTAGCTCGGTGTGTGCAGTATGCAAAATGCACTAAATACTCAGTTGGCCTGTTGCCGTAGCGTCGCTGGGAGATGATGTCGCCGACCTCCTGACAACCATCCATGGAGGGTGGGTCTTGCGAACGTCTCCCGGGAAAATCGTCATGTTCCGCTGGCGTGTAAAGAGCCAACTTGGAGCAATGAAAGACTGGGTAGATGGGCAAGTGGCCTGGCACCTGAATCGTGAAGGAATGTCCCTCGGGTACGTCTCCAGCGGGTGCTACGATCAGCCAAGGCCCCATCCATTTCGGGAGGAGCTTGTGAGAGATGTCTTGTTCAAGGCTGAATTCCCGCTGCGGAAACCCAAACGAGGTCGCTGGCGTGGAATGGGCGAGGAAGACGCTGGCGATTGGCCTGCTGGCTCATGCGCTGCTGCGTCTTGGCCATTTGGTCGCCTGCCTTGACAAGAAGCTCTTGCATCTGACGCAAGAAAAGAAGATGGTCGCCGCTCTCGGTCGTCCGTGGAGTAATAATGTCCAACGGTGAAGTGACCGGCGATCCGTGCTCGAACTCAAAGGGCGACATCCCGATAGCCGGGTGGATAGAGGAGTTGTAGGCCAACTCGACATCCGGCAGCCACTCAACCCAGTCCTTTTGGTCAGGACGAATGAGAGTGCGAAGGAGAACCTATGCGGTCTGGTGCGCCCTCTCCGTTTGGCCATCGGTCTGAGGGTGGCGAGCTGAACTGGGCTTGAGAGATGAGCAATCGCTTGATGAGCGCCAACCAAAAATCGGATATGAACCGAGTGTCGCAGTCGCAGACGATCTCCTTGGGGTAACCCTTGGTTGGAATCCAACCGGCGTAAAGAACCTCGGCCAACTCCGGTGCCTTGGCATGATAGCGGCACGACAAAAACATGGCAAACTTGGTGAGTCTGTCGACCACCGTGAGAATCCCATCCACTCCGGTCTTGTGCTTGGGGAACGGGCCGGTAATGTCCATGGCAATCGCTTCCCTTCGCCTCAACGGGACCGGTAATGGTCGTAACTCGCCGTACGGACGATGGTTGCGGGATTTGCAACGTCGGCAAACCTCACATGACTCACAATAGCATGTGACGTCGCCGAGAAGGCCGGGCCACCAAAATCGCTCGCGAAGTCGGCAAATCGTGCGATTGACTCCAAAGTATCCGGTGGCGGGAGCATCGTGGAACTCGCCAAGAAGCCGTGTACGCAAGTGAGGATCACTTGGTACGCAAAAGAGGTCCTTCCCCCGCGTGTGGACAAGCAAGTACCCCTCTTGGATCCGGTAGTGAGAAGGCGCCGGATTAGGAGAGGAGCAATTCGCGTACTTGTCGCGAAACTCGGGGTCGGCTTGGTAGCCGTGGATGAAGCTGTTCCGCAGGTCATCGTCGATCTCGAAGGTTGAGTAGACCGCGGTACAATGATCCGGGCGCCGTGAAAGAGCATCCGCAAAACGGTTCGACTTGCCCGGAATGTGGTCAGGAAAAAAGTCAAACTGGTCGATGAAGGCCATCCATCGGGCAATGGTGCTATTGACCGTGTCTTGGGTCTTGTAGAAGACCAATGGATTGTTATCCATTACCCATCGGAACTGTCGTCGACCAAGAAGAAAATGCCACCAGTGCTTGAGCACGTGTACGAAGGCCAATAATTCCGTCTATCGAGCGTCGTCAATCGAGTGCACGGCGGGCACTTTCTTGCTAAAGTACTCGATCGGGTGCCAGTCCACGCCGTCATGTTGCTCGAGGACGGCACCAATGCCATAGCCGGACGCATCAGTAGTGACACGTGTCGGCAAAAGCGGATCATAGATGCGCAACACCTCCGCGGATAGCAATGCGGCTTTGAGAGCCAAAAATGAAGTTCGCGCATGGTCGTCGAAGTCGAATGGCCGGTCCTCACATTGAAGCTTGGATAAAGGAGCCACGATCTTCGAGTATCCCTTGATGAAGTGTTGATAGTAGCCGGCTAAGCCAAGGAAGGAACGGACGTTTGTGACGGTCTTCGGCTTCGGCCACTCTTGGATGGCTTGAATCTTGTCCGACAACGGACTGATGCCCTCCGGTGTGACAAAATGGCCCAAGTATTCCAGCTCTTGCCGGACAAATTCGCACTTGTCGCGGTTGGCTTTGTACTTGGCACGGCGAAGTGTCTCCAACACTCGTCGAAGGTGCTCAAGATGATCCTCCAATGTCCGGCTATAGACGAGGATGTCGTCTAAGTAGACTAGTACAAACCGGTCCAGCATCGCACAAAACTCGTTGGTCATTGCCGCTTGAAAGGTCGTCGGGGCATTGGTGAGGCCAAACGACATAACGATCCACTCAAAGTGTCCGTACCGCGTCTTGAACGCAAATTTGTAGCAATCTTGCGGGCGTATCGAGATTTGATGGTAGCCCGACTTCAAGTCCAACTTTGAAAAAAAATTTGCGCCACCCAAACGCTCGAGAAGGTCGTCAATTCGCGGAAGAGGTCCCACATTCTTGACGGTTTGTGCGTTGAGCTTGTGGTAGTCGATGCACAAGCGAAGATCCTTGTTCTTCTTGCGTACGAAGAGAACTGGCACACCGTATGGTGAGCTGCTAGGGCGGATCCAGCCCTTGTCCAAAAGATCGTCGATTTGAGCGCGGAGAACCTCGAGCTCTTCCTCGCTCATGCGATAGATGCATCCTTTCGGCGGCACGGCACCGGCCTCGAGAATGATCTCGTGGGAGATCGGCCGATCCGGCACCACACCGGTAGGAGACTCGAAGATGTCAGTGAACTCGTCGAGCAGCCGCACCACTCGGGGGTCCAAAGACAAGTCCGTTGGTGAAGATTCGGTCGTCGCGGCGGCTCGTAGAAAACATAGGTCGATCTCGTCGGTCCGCTCGTAAGCGCAAGTGGCCCGAAAAGACTTGACCGTTACAACTTGGCACCGGATCGAGGAGTGTGGAAGAGGAATGGTACACGGCACCTCAACGTCGAAGCCGTCGCGAACGGTAAGTGTCCGCTGATGGAAGTTAGTTGTGTGATCCGCACTTGCAAGCCAAGGCATGCCCAGAATGATGTCGAAGTCCGTGTCCAAGACGTCAAACGTCACCATGCATCAGGTGCGAAATAAACCGGCACGGCTTCAATGTAGCGATCGAGGAGTTGTTGTGTCCGACCGTCCGCCAACTTGATCGCCGTCGGGTTTGGCTTTCGTTGAACTTGAGCACCAAGGCCGGCCCTTTGGATAAAGGACTGGCTGATGAAATTGCGAGTCGCGCCGCTATCCAGCAAAGCGCTGCAGGACGCTTGCCCAACTTGGATGCGGACGTAGAGGAGCGGTGCATTGTTATCATCGTACCGTTGCATGCGAAACTCGCAGGCCACCTTGGTAACATACGCAAGGATGTCCCCCACCGCAGCTTCGTCATCCGTCGGCGAAGATGGTGGTGCATAGAAGGCTAAGTATGTGTGGAGATGGGCGCATAGTGTTGCGCATTGCGGTCCCGACAAGCGGCCTGTGGAAGGGAGAGGAAGCCATGCAAAGTCCTCGGATGTCAACGGGTCCAAGACCTCTATGTCGAACTCGTGCGTCGAACCCCTTGAAGAGCCACTTGAAGACGGTCTATTGTTGTTGTTGCCGGACGGAGAAGAAGCCGCACACACATCTTGTCCTTGAGCTTGAGAACCCAGCGAAGGAACGAGCCGGGCAGCATAGTCCTCATAAGAATACAAGAGAGGACTGTCGACTTCCGCATGTGCCTCGGAATGAAGAGAGGTCGCTCGCGAAGCAACCGATTCCGAAGGCGTCGAGAGTGCAGTTGCATCACTCTCGGCGGTGCTCACTTTCCCGAAGGGGATTTGGCTTGGGCCGGTGTGGGGCACGTTGCGGTGTCGTGCACCGCGCTGTTGCACCACAAGCAATATCGGTACTTAGAACAGACGCGGTACACGCCTAACGAGATACTGTAATGTGTCCAAGGCTCTTGAGCCGCTGGTCCGGCCCCGGGGGCTGAAGTGGTGTGTGTCTTCGGTTTGCCGAGTCCTCGCCCTCTGGCGGGGCGGCCACCATCCCGGGCGGCTGCCAATCTGTTTCCTTCCTCATAAGAGGCAGCCTTGTTTGAAATGTTGGTCGCTGTAGTTGCTGCTACCACGACCACTTTCGGCCGATGCTGTCCTCTGCCCTGGCCTGCAGCAGACGAATGACCCAAATTCTTGGCCTCGATGTTCGTCAGGATGATCTGCGAGGCTTTGTCAAAAAGCTGCTCACTTGTGGTGAGCGTCTCCGTAACTTGCGTCAAGGCGTTCTGCAACGCCGGGCAGCTCCTCCTGATGAAGAAGTGCTTGATAGAGACGAATGTCGACGGCAAGTTAGGTGTGGATGCCAAGCGTTGGTACTCGGTGATCCAGTCCGTGCTTGGCAGGTCGTTCTGATAGAACTGTTGAAGTTTCTCGGCTGCCTGAAGCTCGGGCGGCTCCACTTGGAACCGCTTATGCCATGCTGCCTTGAGATCAGCCCAGCTGATCTTCGTATGCAGCTCGGAGACTGCGACATTGTGCGTGGACAACATGTTGTCCAGCCATGCCTGGCACGCACCTCCCGAGGGGGAGTATAGGTAGGAGTGCCGGTTCGGATTGATGACGTGGTGAATATCCAACTTTAGCTCAAACTGACGCCACCATGGGATCGGGTCCGTCTTCGTTGCATCGCAGAAGATCGGGAGGCCGTCAAACTTCGGAATGCTCTCGCGATTGGTCGCGGTTGGACTGGCTGCGGCAACGCAAATCTGCTGGTCAATCCGCTGACTTGTCTTTCAAGCGCCGTCCTTCAAAGTCTCGACGTCGATCTCCAAGACGTTGATGCGATCCGCCAAGTTGGAGGGTCCGGCGGGGGTGGCTGTTGCAAGCTGCTGTTCCAGCTGGCGTACCCGGTCAAGCAGTTCGTCAATAACACGAATCTGCTTCCGGACCAGGGTGTCCATGCAGAGGATGTCCTCTTGCTGTGCTGCACAGGTGGCGACCAAGTCGCTCACATGTTCGATTGTGGTTGCAAGACCACGCACAGCAGAGGGGGCACCCTCCTCTTCAGCAGTCACTGCCCATTCGCCGGCGATCACCTCGATACCCCCCTCGCATTCGAGGAGTTTGTCTCGGCGTAGTCGACGGCGTTCATCTGCGGCCGTCGCTGCTGCCTCAGCGTCTGCCTGTCACTGCTGTTCAGCGAGGCGACGCTGTTCCTCTGCTTCATCGTCTTCCTTCTTACGTGCGGATGTTGCCGCAGCTGCCCGTTGCTTGTACTCGGCTACCATGTCCAGCATGCAGGCCTCATAGGCCTCGGTAGTCTTGCCTGGCTGTTGCTCCATGCCACTTGTCTTTGAGCGGGTGAGCACCATGCACTAACGTGTCCTGCCGCTGTGGCCTGCTGACGTGGCAACTTACCAATGCCGTGTACTGCTGACGTGGCAACTCACCAATGCCGCCGCAGGGAATACCCGGAGGAAGATAGAGAAGACCAGATGGGGCAACAGCATAGGTGGGGAGGGGGGATGAATTGCCCAGATAAGGAGCCACTAATCAAAAAAGAAAAGTTTGAACTTTGCAAAACAAATTCGAAATAATAAAAAATCCCGAGTTTTGCAAGTTCAGTAGGTCTCCCAACCTCCCTTGAAGTACGAAATTATCATTGAGAGAAAAAAAATTCGACTTCAGACTGCAAATGATTTATAGACTGACTAACAGAATCCTACAACTGCGGAAAAAAAATTCCGAAAAAGAAATAAAATATTCGGGCTTACTTAGATGAGAGTATTCGCAGTTTGGAAAATAATACCCGCAGGAGCAGGGTTGTTTTGGCGCCTACTGCCTACGCCTACCGTAGGCGGTAGGTGCGCCTACCAGTCGGGCCGACCCGTAGGCGGACCCGTCGACGGTCGGTAGACTGCCAAAAATTTTTATTTTTATTTTTTTGATGACATGGTTGTGTGCGGCTTGAGGAGAGCAGCCCAAATCCGTAATAAAATTTTGTGGAGGTGGTGGGGTTGGATTGGGGGGGGGGGGG